CTAGAAAACATAACCTGTAATATCTGTGAAACGTAGTGGGGAATAGGATGAGTCAGTGCTCCTGACTAAAAAAAAAAAACCTTATGAATAAAGAACATCAAATTAAAATGCATAATTTCAATGACCAGTTATGTTTGAATATCACCTCGCATTTCACAACACATTGCCAGGGAGAGACAGACCTGTTTTACTACTGTTAGCTAGCTAACGTTCCCTTGGATGCAGTGACACAAGATGGTTTGGGTTTTTTTAAACTAAAAATTGATGTGAGAGACAACCCAGGATGACCTGCTCTACCACTGAGCCACTGTGTGTGTGTGTGTGTGTGTGTGTGTGTGTACCTCTGCCATTGACAGGCGAGTTGGAGCTGGAGGTGTGGTGGCTGAAGTCTGCTGACCCTGGGCGACCTCCCGTGTTGCCATGTTGACCAAACATAGAGTCAGAGGAGTTGTGGCGGGAGTCTTCATCAAATAATAGACCTGTAAATTTGTATGCACCATTACAAAACATTCTCTTGCTGCCTCCTGAATAAGGGTTATTAATATTAGTATTGATAGCCTGGCTTACCTCTGGGCCTGCGGCTGAGACCTTGTCCCAGTCTGGAGCTGGTAGTTAGGCCCAATGAGGGTGACTGATGGCTGGGAGTTGAGCTCAAAGCTCTATGGGTCTGACCTGGAGGGCAGCAAACTCAAAGAGGTTAGGCTGCCAGGAGCAAAACAATGCAATATTGTAAATTAATGAATTAATATTATAATGAAAATATCTTTTACTTTTTATATCATACATTGTCCTTATATACTGCATGTACTATAAACAATAATACATCTCCTTTTACCTTAAATTTCAAAGCATTTCTCAAAGCCACAAGTATTGGTAAAAGGAAGTCGCATATTATAATAGTATAATTCTCTTCGCCTTCCTTCCCAGTGACTCAATTTAGGTTTTCAAGCAAGAACGATAAGACCAAACGATAGTGGCTAGATAGGCCACTAGCAGCAATAAATGTGCACAAGACCTGATTAAGTAAAAGGTTGGAATTTGTGGCCTAAATGAAAAATATGATTCCAGCTGCTGATTTCACAATCAATCCAAGCAGGTGGTTCACTGAGTGAACACTGAGCAGGCTAACAGTCCTGTTCCTTTACAATAATTAGACCGTCTCAAAATATATGCGAACACCGTAAACATAGATTTACCTTCCATCTTAATCAAGAAGCTCAGTTTTCCTGGTGGATTCAGAACATGTTGGCAGAATGTTAACCATCATTAAACATCAACACGTTCATTACCTTGGCCGTGTCCATCCTCTCCATTGACACTCTCACTGCTGCCTCCTGGAGTACTGCTACGGTAAACACCGCGGCCTCTGTCAGCCAAACCTGCAGACCAGTGACAGTGTTGTAAGGGAGCCTGCACGCCATGGTATGACCATGAGACGTGTCGTGTGCGTCACATAAAGTAGCAAGAAAGCCAAGCAAGACATCATTCATTGATTCAGGCACACTGGACATTGTGACTGGATATTTCTGACCAATGTCAAGGGACGGGGATCACTGACATCACTGGATGGAACTTATAACACTTGCTCCCTGGCGTTTTGCTCTTGTTGTTCTTCTGGGCACTTTTCAACAGTAACAAAATGGTCAATTTTGCCAAAGTGGGGGAATCGATAATGGTAATAATAATGCCTAACAACTATGAGAATTATAATAGAGTTCTGCAGGAATGACTCCAAAACCAGGAAATGAGTCAGCATTCTTTCACTTCCTGTTCCTCGTCTCAGAGTCAATGTTTTTTGTGTGTTTTTGGTTAGATGTCTGAAAAAAGGTCTGTGGTTCAACTGTTTAGAAGCTTTTATGTTTCTTAAAAACAGCGGTTCTCCTTTAGCTTGGTGGTGGTGAGGTGAAGCCATGTGACCGTGTTGTAGTTCCTTTATAGCCTAACGTTAGCGTTGTCCTCTGCCGATAGCATTTACCCTTCAAAAATCATAAAAGTGGTGTACATTAGCTCGCTTAACAAAACTTGTAAGTATCATAAACGTTTATTTGCCACAGAGATTATTTTCTGCAATAATCAGAAATCCAATGAAAAAATCCCATTGCCTTTCCGTAGAGGGAACCAGTGTGAGGCTAACGTCCTGTTGGACTACAAAAATATGTCATTCCCGCATCACTCTATGCACTATGATCAATGCAAAATAAGTCAGGGAGTGACCAGCAATTATGAAATATTATGATACTTATTATAAGTCATTATAAAATGCTTTATAATTTGTGATATTTAGGTTATAAATCATTATGAAGATTCATGAGTGCTTATAACTACAATTATACAGTGTTAAGTAGATTATACCACATTATAAAAATGTTTATAATGCATTTTAGACATAGAAAGGCAGCCTGACTGAGATCCAATGGGATGGTGACAACAAATAGGCCTTGATGTGTTTACTTCTTGTTTTACGTCATTGAAATGTTTATCTAGGACACGCTTAAATGTAACAGTAAGAAAGGTAGAGGAGACTCAAAGTCAGCTAACTGCTTAATCTAAGGTAACACTAGCTAATGTTAGCCACCATAATCTACCAGTCATAAAGCTGTGGAGACAAAACCCCTGAGTGAATTTTGCATGCGTGTGTGTTTTATGTGTGTGTGTTTAATTGCTTCAACTTTTCATTTGTAGGAGGAAGACAGTATTGTTTCTTCTTTTAAAAGTGACGGTTTCCCTTTAAACCGATATGGTGTCGTGATTCTTATCTTAGCTGCCTTAAAGCAATATTAACAAACGATATTAGCAAAAAACATTGGTGTTTTACAAACCCATGAAGGCTTCTGATGCTTAAAAAGCTTATTTCAGACAGGGGATGGACAGACAAAGGGTTAAAGCAAATAGACAGGCAGAAAAAAAAAAAAAAAGAGGTGCTGGGTGATGGAGTTTGCAGTAGTAGTAGTAGCTCACAGCTCAGATCCAGACTGAGAAATGTGTCCTCACCAAGACAACAGATTAAAAACATTAAGTGAGCAGACAGCACACAAACACAAATGAACATTCTTTACACAGACCTATCAGAAATAAAACAACTCTTCAAGGACATGCAAGCGATCTGCAGGCGTGCCTGGCATACAGGGAAACATGGCGTACAGGGAAACATGGCGCACACACATAAACCATCTCATGTGTGTGCTTACTACTTACTAGTTGTACTGGCTGGCTCACACCTGCAATGCGCACCCGTTTATGTGTGTTGTGAATGTTTATCTGTAGGCTCGAGGAGTGTGACTGCATTATTGCATTGTTGATGAAGTGCATGGTATGTGCATTATTGTGTGAAGTACTACGAGTCACAGCGATGAGTGTTGCTGAGCATCATGACGTGCAGGTGACAGTGATGATGATGATGATGTGCATGGTTAAAGAGGAGGAGGAGGGAGGGGGGGGGGGGGGGGTTAGAATACTCCGTTGGCTGAGAATGGCTGGCTAGTGACGACGTCAGCTGTGATGTCAGTGGAAGACCAGAATCGCAGTCTTCTGGTGAGAGAGAGGGAGGGACGGGAGGAGGAGGAAGACGAGGAGGAGGGGAGGAGTTTCTCTTGACTTTTACTGCGGAAGAAACGGAAGCGTTTTGGGGTGAGGGGAGCTGAGAGAGAGTGGAGAGAGATAGGAGGGAGAGATGGAGAAACGTAAAGCAAACGATGAAATAATGACAGTGAGTAAATCAAAGGAAACAGTTGATTCAGAACTTATTGGCAGAATGCTAAATAATAGACATCATGCAAGAAGATCCATGAGAATAAAAACAAGAAAAAAGTAAAATCATGCATTAGACTCGAAGAGACTGACCTCAACTCACTCTGAATTCAAACAAAGTAGGACTGGTAGTGCAACGCGTGGTGTAGGAATATGTTGGGGACTCATTTATGCAGACAAAATCTTAAGATTTACGGTTTATGTTTCAACTTATCTTAATATGACAACTTCCAGTTGCGGTGGAATTCAATTAAAAAGCCACTGAGAGTGAATTGAGTTCAGCCATGAGGAGAACTCCATTTAAGAGTAGAGCTCTAAAAATACAAATAACATTGAAATAGAAACATACATACAAACTTTGGACCATGCATTAGAACCCACTTCTATTATTAGGACAGAAAGATGAAAAGTCAGTTCGCTGGAGCGTGAAGTGGTCCCATACCTTTTCTTGTATGTGTAAATACAAAGCAATGTCTACTTGTGAGCCCTTGTCACAAGCTGGATTAAAGATGTGGGTATAGTTAGTGGCTTGTAGGAGATCAGTATAAATGTTATAAGATCCATAGTTTGATATAATCCAAGGCAAACATGGAATGAAGTAATTTCACTGTACTTCAGCTTTAAAAGTATTATTTCAGAAACGTTTGATAAACATTGAGGTAATACCGTTTATCTGTAATATTTGCATCTGCTATGATCATTTCATGAAAAGTTGTTAGATGTTGATGAATTTAGATTAGTTTAATAGTGATTTACCCTTTTTAGAATGTTTCACAAAGCACATATTTATTCTGACAATAATAGTAACTTAAATGGCTAATAGTAATAATTTAAGTATTTGTATAGCACTTTTAATAGCACTTCAGAGTAAGGAGTATTACAAAGGTCTGTGTGCTATTAAAACTCTTCTGCACAAGCAGAGTCTTGTTGATATGGAAACCCAGTAGAGTACAGGTACAGTGGATGATCATAGACGTGAGAAATGGTCACTGATATTATGTGGTGTTCAACAGCGCCTTCTACAGGTGAATATATGGAAGTGCACCAGATCAGAAGTCACCATGTTCCATCACCTTTGAGGTTTTGGAACCAAAATATTAACAAAGAATGTACTTGATACATGCAGATTGTGCATTTCAGAATAAAACACTTTAAACCGTTTTCCACTCTCTCATGTTCCATAAAGACGACATCATAGACATGAATTTCTCCTCTGATGTCAATATGAAACTTGTGATCTTTGACGGGTAAATTCTCCCGGTCCTGATAATTAATAGTGTATGAAGACGGAGTGTGCTTACCTCGGCCGATGGGCGTGAGCGCTGGACTCTGGGGTCCCATGCTGGTGCTGCTGGTGTGGTTGTTATGGTTACTGTGGTCATGGCCGCTGTCCTGTGTGTCACTTCCTGTACGCTGAGGAAGAGGGGGTGGGGTTTCAGGAGGGAGGAGGGGGGGCGGGGAAGGCAGTGGGATGTCTGGGGCACTCTTTGCTCTATCTCTCTCTCTGCCTCCCTCCTTGACTCGGTCGGCCCCTCTCTCCCTGCTGCTCTCCTTTCGGGGTTTAATCAGTTTGGCTAAAGCTTTGGCTCCGGCCCACTGACTCCTCCTGACGAGACACAACATGTACCGTTATGTGGGGCTGGTTGTACACTGAATACTGCACACAGATATTCCACATTTCCTGTAAAAAATAAAATGAGTCTATAAAAGCATTACTTTTTAGGTGTGGGGTCGTAGAACTTGTACTGGTCCATGATCTTCTCCTCTAGTTTCTCTTTCTGGCGACGGAGAGCGTTCAGCTTATCACTGGATGGAGAAATAAAAATAAAAAAAAACACAGAAACACGTCGTATTCATTGCCATGGTACACTTTAGTGTATCTTGTTTTCAGAGACACTCAGTGGACAACAGTTATTACTGAATTTACTACTATATCCTTCCTATTCGTTAAGATCGAATAGGAAAGATATATGATTTAGGTCATGTGATTCAAACCAGGAAGTGTATTGTACTTGTGACGGGACTCCCTGGAAACGTTTGGGTGCGTTCCAATCACGGACTGTACATAAGAAGTGGACATAGTCCCCATGCTGTCACCCGTTGGTTTGTGGACTGCTATTTTTAAACTTAGAGTCCGGCATTTTGGCTGTCGCCAACTTGGCTTTTTGCAACCAGTGAACTGATGTGACCATATTTGGACTGCTGGCGACTGACGTAGAGACGCCGTATACGGGCTCTGGTAGTGAACTGTCAACCACAAGGTATCCACGCTCTAAGCATACCCTGCTTTATGGTCTATTTGACTCAAAGTAGGAGGTTTAAGGCACTTTTGCTTCACTTTTCAGAACCGGAGGTTGACTCCGGGCTCCAACTGTCCCAATAAATAGTATGTAGTGATGGCGAGATGAAGCTCTATGAAACAATATAGCTTTGCAGCTAATTGGTTTGCAAAAGGGGTGAATTTCTTTTGGCTTCATGCTCACACAAAACCACAGATGAGCTCATCCATCCATGTAATTTGAGATCAAGGCTATTTATCTTTACAGTTTCAACATAAAAGTACACACGTGTCATTTCTTTAAAAGCAGTTCTGGATACTTCCCTCTTAGGGTGGTGTCTGCTCTATAGTTACATGTATAGTCTGTTTACTGCTGGTGTTGTTTTATGGTGCACAGTTTGTGTTGCAGGTGTTGCGGTGCGGTTACATGTATAGTTTCTGCTCCTGGTGATACAGGTCTTTGCTCTCCATGCTCCTCTCTAGTAGAGTGTGGTTCTGCTGACTCAGCAGGTTGATCTGACTCAGGAGGTGGTGGTTCTCCTCCTCCAGGTTCCCTTTTAGTCGGCTCAACAGCTAAAAAAACCACACACACATGCGTGGGTCAGGTTAGGAAAGTAACCAAGAAGGTGATGGTGATTACTCTGCTGTGCTTCAGGACACACGTGTCACTTATTTCTAAAGTAAAAGGCCCGCCTCACCTCACAGTGGTTGTCTAGTTTGGTCATGGTTAGATCCAGGCCCTGGTGTTGCTCCATTAGCGAATCGTATCGTGCCATCCATCGACTCTCTTCCAGCTGGGCGGAGCTTAATGAGCTCTTGCATTCATTCATGCGCTGCTGCAGCCCCTCACATTGCTCTGACTGCTGCGATTGGCTCTCTGTTAACCTAAAGGGGGGGCAGAAGAGAAAGAATAACTTCACGAGGAAAGTCAAGTAATCATTTCAGGTAGTTTTATAATTTGAAGCCAACTGTGCTCCCAGGTTCTGCCTCGAGTTCTAGTCTGGATGTTTGGATGTGGGGTTGTATGAGGTACTTGTCCATAGTCAGTGTATCATGTGCAGTCCCTCTGCAACTGGGGACATCATGGCTGGTCATGACGTCCCCAGTTTGGAGAAACAGACCTGAGCTACCGCACAGGGGCAAAGCAACGTACTGCTGTCAGCAAAACATATTGTAGACCTTAACCTTGCCATGAGACAGTGAGACAGCCGTTTCTGGCGAGGAACTGAAGCTGTAGTTTCAGCCAAAGACACCAGACTCCATTTTGAAAAACAACAACATCATTTTACCTTGCAGAACACGAGGGTTGCTGGTCTACTGCTCTTATATAACTGGCAAAATATTCCAAATATAGTTTACATTTAAATTGATAATAACTTTTTTAGGTTTCTCACACTGGTGGCGTGCCGACCGCTATCTACTGTAGGTAATACTTTATACACTGACTGTGGATAAGTCCCTCATACGACCCCACTTCTAAACATCCATGCTATCCCTTTAACTACCTTTTCAAAGCTTAGACCTTAAGAAAACCACTTCCAACACAGTACCTGTCCACTTCTGTTTTAAGCTGTAGATTCTCTTGTTGTAGAAGACAACTCTTTTGGATCTCCTGGTTCAGCTCCTCCTTCTCTTTCAGACTGTGCCTCTCGTGCTCCTCCCATTTCTCCTTCTGCTGCAGCAAAGTACAATACCTGCAGAAGGACATGATATTGTCTGTGATTACAACTTGAGCATGTTTACATAACTATTTGATACCATGTGTCACCTGTGATGCCCACAGACACACATTTCCCAAATACAAATATGGTGAAAAAAAAAAATTACAAGGTGAGATGTATAAATATTATGTTTCTTTAAAAGTATCTCCTAACCAGGGGTGCCCAATATGTCCAGTCGATCGCAAAGGTAGTGCGGGTAGATCGCAACCATTCAAAAACAATGGGATGTTAGCCTATCATCCATCCTCCCTATGACATTTGCCACTTGATTGACATACAGGGCAGCCGGTCTGAGATCACGTCTTTTCTAACACACGGGTCACCACGTATGCGCGGTCAACAGCACGAGCTACTGCAAAACTCCGGCCAGCTAATTAGTTAGCCTTCCAATTTATTTCGACTGAAGAAGCTAAAGCTGCAGCGCCATGATTTGAGGAACTTCCAAAACCTCGCGTGAGAGCTGGAGACGCAACGGAAGGTGTGTGCGCAACTTAACAGTGCGCGCTACACAGAGCAGATTGACAAGTGTCTGTCGGAGTTGGACAAACGCTTTCAAGACTTTGCTTTACTAGAGCCAGTCGCTACATTTATGTGCTACCCATTTAGGGAAGATATGGAGGTTGATTCACTCGCATCAAAACTTGCAACGCTGTTTCACCTGAACTCGTCTGGAGTGGAGGATGCAGTGGCAGGCCGTGCATTTTATGCCTGGGCCTTCTGTGGTGTCCTACTACAGTTGAACAGCTACGGTGCAGATACATGAATCCGTGCATGATGGGACGCTGCATCATTAACGGACAATGCATAGTCAAATCAAAGTAATTAACACATCTAACAACAAAGTCATAAGAACCAGTCACATATATTCATATGACAACAAAGCATGACACATCAATCCAGCAAACCTGCAGCGGATCCACACATTCCACCACACAAGAGCACGAGCCATCAAATATTATTCATAAAAACGTTACTGCAGATGTAAAAAAAACAAACACAGTTTGTCACTTACCAAATGCAGAAAGACAAAGTTCATCCTCCTTTCTTTGTTTACAAAGAGTTTAATCCCACGGTTGTACAGTACATTGTTTCAGTTCCAGTAAGAAGTCCTTCTCGATTCATGGACACCAGTGACAGTCGAGCCTCCCCAGTTGTATTTCAGGGGCTGCTGTTATAATGTTATAATTTCTTCCATATCTTTCAATTTGAACTCTTACTAATCCAACTAATTTCTGCCTCTGATGGCTATTTTAAGTTTCGTTTCACAATAGTCACGTGCTCGCCCACTGACCAATCACAGCGCACGCTGCACCTCACTGCAGAGCTGCACCTGCAAACCGAGCTGCACGTAAAGCTGACGTAGGTGTAGGCCAGCTAGCAGGCTCTGACACGTCAAAGAATACGCACATGTCAAACTAAAGATCTGATTGGTTGAAGACTATGACAATCAACAAAATCGTCCCCATTCACTTAAACTGCAAAGGGATTCACTTGTGAGTCTGCAGGCCTCGGGCCTCTCTTCTTACCAAGAGACACAGAGGTGAAATCTGATTGGATAAAAGCTCTACTTAAAACAAGCTGCACTGGAAGCAGAGCAACTGAGGAAGACAGTAGCTGTGCAATGAGAAAATAAGATAATGGGAAAAATATTTGTATAAATTACATTAAACATGTAGTGTATTTAAGAAAAGTTAATAAATTATAAAATAGCTATAAATTTGTGATTCTGTTTAGGCCAGCAGAGAAGGCTTTGAAGGTCCTGACGGCCCACCACTGCTGTGACCTACAGCCACTGGTGGTGGAGTGTACAAGTCAATAATCAACAAAGCAAGCTTGACTGAGAATGCTGTGTGTGTGTGTGCATATGTGTGACGCCATGCATCTGTTTACATCCTGTACATTGAGCTCAAGTGAAGTTCTGTTGCATTTGGTTACTTTGGCCAGTTACAACTACAGTAGAGCTACGAGACAGGTCATCTTAAGTTTTGACCTAAATAAAGATTAATATCTAATAAACATCAGCTAATGTCTGTTGTTTGGAACTACGAAGAAACAATGGTGCATATTGGGTAAAGTAAGTAATACTACCTTCAATTTTTCTGCAAGCTTACAACGTTCTTCACCTTTAAACATTTTTAATAAGCAGCAGGGCAACATCTCCACTGAAGTCACAGTGACATGAGAACTATTTATCTACCACGTTCTAATCCTGTGTTCCGTGTTACCTCCTGTTAATGCGTATGTGTTTAAAACATTTATTGTTTTAGTATTTATATCACAAAATCTCTCTTTCCTCTTCCTGTAAAATGTAAAATATTTTTGATGACTCATGCTGAACTCGGGGCGGTTCCATAAATGTATCCAATCAAATGTGATTTTGGTAACTAGATAACCCCGCCCATCATATCAAACCTCACTCCACCATTATATCATAGGTGTATTTAGATTTCAGCTGGAAAAAACTCTGATTACATTTCCATAAGATGTCGATGAGGTGGTGCAGGTGAACAATCCTACAGCTGCATATCTTTCCACAGCTACATCGTACTATATCCATGAAGCCACACATTTCAAGGATTTGATTGAAATCCTTCTCGTAACTAAACCTAAATTATAGAAGCTAAATACGCTCTAATGGCATTCCACTGTGATTTTAACAGAGGACTACATTCATTTTTGCTTCCTCCATTAATTATTTACTAAATTGTTCTCACTAATGCTTTTCTGCTCACAGTGTTTTTTAGAGGACTATCGCTCTACTGTTGGCAGTAAGGTTCTTTGTCATCACTTACTTGCTGTGCAGCGTCCGGTGCTCGCCCTCTAGCGCCCTCTGCTTGCCCTTCAGCGCGGCGTGCTGACTGATGAGCTGCTCGTACTCGTGCGCTTGCCTCTCGTGAACGCTCAGCAGGCGCTCATGGTCGCTGAGCACGCCCTCTCTGGCTTGCCACGCCTCCTCGCGCTGCCTCTGCCACGATTCCACTTCCGACTCCAAGGCGGTGACTTGGCCCTGCAGGACTGCATTCTGGGCCATGAGAGATGCACTCTGGGAGGAGAGCGTGGAGTTCTCCACCTGAAACACAGAAATCCATTAGAACTCAGTGGTTAAATACAACATTATCTGGGGAATTATTGTACAACGGATGTTACTGGCGCTTGTTGGCTCAGTTTTACAAAATCACTATGTGGCTGAATTGGACATTGTACCTGTAGTTTTGCAGTCTGTGTATGTAAGGCTGAATTCTGCTCCTGCAGGGTGGTGGTGTGTCGCTGCAGGCCCAACATCTGGTTGTTAAGAGACGTGTTCTGGTTCTCCAGCTGTTTGAGATGCCCCTTCAGTAGACTGCTCTCCGTCTGCAGGGAGGCATTCTAGGGAAAGTAATGACACCAGAACAATTAAGAACTCAGCCTACTAAAAAAAGAACATCTAATGGTAATTCTAAAATAAAGAGGCACATCGAGGAATTCCTGATGGTTCAATAATTAAACAGATAACATTAAATATGCTCATTAATTGTGCAAAAAAGGGTGAATTATGAATGAATGAATTATAGGAAAATAGACAAGTAAAAAGAGCATTAAACATGCTCCATAACGCATGGATATACACAAAAAATTGAATAAGTTGTAAATATAAATATATGTGATTGAAACAGTAAAACAGATTGTAAAGCACTCTGAGGCAAATTTGTGATTTGTGATTTTGGGCTATACAAAATAAACTGAATTGAATAAAAAACAACAACAGACAAATCGTACATTCTTTTCTATTTCAATGAGATGATCTTTGATTCGGAGCAGTTCAGCAGTGGCTGACCCTTGACTCCGGTCGCCTCCTGAGCACTGCTGGTAGTTGTGGTTTTCTTCCCCCTGGAAAAAAACAAAACAAAACAAATTGTAACACACTGTTCAAAAAACAACACCAGATTTTTTAGTAAGAGTTTGTGTGCATGTGCTTACGGTGGCTAGCTTAGCACGCAGCGTAGTGTTGAGTGTGTTGCTGTCTTCCAGTTTCTTTTCCAGACAGGAGATTTTCTCCTCTTTAATCTTCATCGTCTGTTGGACGGTTTCCTCGAGCCGAGACTCCAGCAGCCTGTACTTGCTGCCGTGTGAACAAGAGAAATCGGTCGATCAACTTCCCATCCGACATTCATTTCTACACATGAAATCATCTCAATGTGATTAGCAAGCCTAGCATGGGAACAGCATAGCAGCGTATTAGAGCAGACTACCTGTCCTCCAGTGTGTGCTGTTGCTGTAATCGTTTTTCTCTGTTGAGCCCGATCTTCTCCAGTTCTTGGTTGAGTCTCTCCAACTTTACACTCTGCTGCTGAACGCTCAGCTTCTCGGACACCAACTCCTGCACACATAAAGATACACGAGCTGCAGCTATGAAACTCATACATATCAACATTTCCACATAGATGATACAACGCACATCAGGGTTAAAAAAAAGCAAACTGTAGGTTGTTCGGAATGTTATGCCAATATTGAAGCCGTTTCACATCAAACGTTTTCTGTTCAAAGAATTTGCCCTGAAATTTACAAAAAACTGATTTTGTGCATTATGAACACTTCAACACCCCTGCTGAACATTTGTGAGGGGGAAAAATATTCGGATGGACCTTGATTTCAGCAGATTTCCACCCGTGTAAATAAATGTTTGGCCAATGAAATCCTTTGTTCCAGGTGATGTCATACATCCAGATAGCTTCCTGCCAAAATGGGGGAACGGCTTATCATATGGGTTTCTAAAAACACCCAATAATGTATGAGAAGCACTCCAACGACTACCTCAACAACCAAATAAATGGTGATAGATGGCTTGAGAAGCAGCTGGGATACGAGGAAGATAGTAATGTAGCTGATGTCCACTTACATAATATGTTGGTCACGGAACAGCCACTACAGCTAGCGTCGGCAGCAAATTTGGGGTCCAATTAGTTTATGTATTGTGTAGCACACTGTCCATTGTCATAGCTGTTCTTGACTCAGTTTTCTCTTCACAAAATAAGACTTTTTTGTGTTTTTGTATTTTACAAAAATGGAACACTGCAACGCGGTTAATTTGCGCACATGTACATTGTTGTCATAAGGAAGATTGCCATGCAAATATTCCGCATTCCTGCACCACATTCCGGCATCAGACTGGTGAGAAACGCTTTTACTCTTGTATTAAAAACTGGATATGGGGTTTATGGGTCAGTGTTATCTTTCCGATATAGTGGACTATTTAATGTCAAGTTATTCAAAACTATTCTATTGAGACTGTGAGTTCATTCTGGATCTTGGAAACAGTGGTTTGCAAAACAGTACAACCACAAGGTCAGTTTTTTTAGCTGTTCCGGAGCTTTTGATCACATGAGCATGTTTTTCAAGTTCAATTTATTGTATTTTATGAGGGGAAAAGAGTGTCCAATATTGTTTTTCTTTGACAAAAACTCACAAGGGAAGAATTTAGAGTTTGTTCATCTCTTTGTTCAATATTTTACCTCGTGTAAGAAATTAATCATTACCACAGACTCTCACCTCTCTCAAAGTGACCAGAGTCCTCTTGTCAATAGTTGCCTGTTTCTGCAGCTCCTTGTTCTCCCTCTCCAACTCCTTGACTTTGACCGACACCTCCTTCAGCCTATCTACTTCCTTAGCCAGAGTCGCACCCTCTTTCTTCACAGTGGCCAATCGCCTGACTTTCTCCTCCAGCTCTGTCTCCTTCCCCTCCAGCAGCGTTCTGATCCTCCAGCTCTCCTTTTCCAGGTGCTTCCTGCCCTTCTCTGACTGCTCCAAGTCCAGTTGGAGCTTCCTCCTCTCCTCTTCAACTTCCTCCCTCCTTCTCCGCTCCTCCTTCAGCTCTCCTACTTCCCTTCTCAGTTCCTCCTCTCTGGCCTGGGTGTCCTGCTTCTCTCTCTCCTCGTCCTCCCTCTCCTCTCTGCTCTTCTGTACTTTGTCCTCTAAGCGATGCTTCTCCTGGTTCAGGGTTGCCACGTTCAGCTCGAGCCTCTCTGCCCTCTTCCTTTCTCCTTGTGCCTCCTCTCGGGTCTCCTCCAGCCTCCTCTGCAGATCCTGCATCTCTCTCTGGGCCTCTTTATGCTCCTCCTGGAGGGTGGCCAGGCGGGCGGATGAGGAGCGCAGATTTTCCAGGGAGCAGCGCAAATCCAGGTTCTCCTTCGACAGTAGGCTGTTCTCCACCTCGTGCCTCCCCAGTCGCTGCTGTTCCCGCTGGGCCTCCTCTGCCTCCCGCTTCAGCCTGTGCACCTCCTGCTCCAAGGAGGACATCTGCTTCTCTAGAGCCTCGGACCGCTCACTGCATGCACGCAGAGAGGCCACCTAGAAGTAAAATAGAGAAGTACGTTTAATATACTCATTTTTGTATGAATTAAATTAGCTTTTAAGAATACATAAAACATATATATATTTTTTTATTACTACCTCTCTGTTCAGGGCGTCCCTGCTCCTCTCCAGCCTCGCCGCCTCACGCTCCACCTCCTCACACCGACCCGCCCTCTCCCTCAGCCTCTCTGCATCCTCACTGGCTAGCTTGAGTTGGGTTTCTAAGCTGGCCAATCGGGAGCTGGTGTCGGTGATGCTCTGGTGCAGGAGGCGGTTCTCCATTTCAACCTCGCGGACCCGCGCCTCGTTGTTTGACTGAGCGCGCTCCTGAAGGGACGCCACAGCGTCAGAGAGGTGCTGCTTCTCGCTCTCCAACTCTGAAATCTGATTGGACAGGAAGAGTGTCAACGAATGATGCATTCTGGTCTCTTATGGTGAACGTTAACAATGTCTTACCTGTGTGTGTGTGTGTGTGTGTGTGTGTGTGTGTGTGTGTGTGTGTGT